TGGTTGATACTTCAGCAGAGTAAATATCCGTAATGAAAACATAAGTCCATTATATAGGGGTTTATCTTCAAACGATAAACAAATTGATAATCAAAAACAGACATAGGCGCATGAAGCGTATTGGGTACGCGCAACGGTCTTGACTCGTGAACAGAGATAATATACAGCGAGATTTTTGTAAATCGTTATCTGCTATAACCGTAATTACATGGTTGGTTGGAAGGATCATTTTTATTGGTAACATCAGGTGGAATCCGGTATTTGTTTGTTATATTTATATCTGTTCGGTACGGACCTGGGGGCGAGATACTTGTAATCTGGTTCAAAACACGGAGTACTACAGGACGAAATACTACGGTTCTGGTTCAGAAGATCAAAATTAAAGTCGATATTCTCTATTTCGGTGCTCTGAACTTCAGGAAGAGATACTCTCATTCATTACTCCGAACTTTATGGCGAAATACTCTCGTTCATTACTCCGAACCTCATGGCGAGATACTCTCGTTCATCACTCCGAACCTCATGGCGAGATACTGTAGTTCATTACTCCGAACTTCATGGCGAGATACTCTCGTTCATTACTCCGAACTTCATGGCGAAATACTCTCGTTCAACACTACGAACTTTATGGCGAAATACTTTCGTTCATCACTCCGAAGTTCATGGCGAAATACTCTCGTTCATTACTCCGAACGTCATGGCGAGATACCCTCGTTCATCACTCCGAACTTCATGGCGAAATACTCTCGTTCATTACTCCGAACGTCATGGCGAGATACTCTCGTTCATTACTCCGAACGTCATGGCAAGATATTGTAGTTCATTACTCCGAACTTCATAGCGAAATACTCTCGTTCATTACTCCGAACTTCATGGCGAAATACTCTCGATTAATACTTTCCAATCAGATGTAACATATTGATAATACCCTTTCCTGATCTGAAATGGTGTTTTCTACTGATGTAATGTTTTGACATATTTTGATAATTTGACATCTCTTTCTCCCACAAAGACATCGACATGTAGGAAAATGTCTTCTATAAGGTCATGTGAAATATATAGCATACTGCTCTGTCTATATGATACTGTAATATCGTTATGGCGTCGATTCCACCAATATATTCATTTACATTATAAACATGAAGAAATCATTTGTTGAATAAGTGATTGCCAGAATGGTCTTGTAGATTTGTAGTTCAGCTCTAAACTCGTGTAAGTAACTCCAATAAACGTTCGGGTCATTTAAACCGTTAAGTTAGTGAACACTAGAAATGATTTTTCACAATGTTGGTACACCTGTTCCGTATAAACGCCAATCTTAGGTCTATAATAAAGAAACTAGAAATGTTTGAACAAGAAAACAATACGCCGATACAATTCATGGGCTCTGTGTTTCTAAAACTAAGATCAAGTGCTAATATGTTCTTGTGGGTAAATAGAGGTACGTAATCCATAGTATTACAGCGGTCAATATGACAAGGTAGAGGTCAGGGGGAAGGGGTACATTTATAGTACATAGCTCAGTATTTATCTTAAAGCATGACAGATTTTTACACAGCTGAAGGCCAGTCTCTTTATGGACCAACTCTCTCCTCATCTACGTGGTTACTACACTCACAATATGGGTTGTTACGTGTAGTTTTATTCTATATTGTATAGCTATCATTCTTCTCGCAATCTAACTTCAAAATAGCCTACAGGGGAAATAAATTATCCGGTGTTTCATTTCCCTAGGACGTTTTGAATTCGGACGTCATCAATGTTTTGTGTCCAGTGATCGCCTCCATTAAGTAGATATACCCTGTGGGTGTAAATGGCATAGTAAGCTGGAGTTAATTTCCTGTAACTTTGCGATAGCTGCCCTCCTACAAAATCATCAATAATAACACGTTGTCTAGGCTTTCACAGATGTGTATTTACTCATTCCTTATACACAACACGGACACATTGTCCCTATATCATGTCTTCTCATTCCCTCTCACTGTTAATTCCGTCGTCACCGAATAAGATACACATTCCTTTATCTATTTTACAGGCTAGCGATGAATTGCTCCTAACAAAACATCGCTACACCAGCAACAATAAGCTCGTCCTAGAATTTATTGAAACAAACCATATTTATAAACGTTTTATCAATTATTGGTACCAAGAACATTCCAATCTCCCACAGACACACGAAACCGAGACGTTATCAAGCTACCTATTAGAGATAGAGAAGCCAGATATTTATTTAATATGTCAACAGCACGTGCGCATTAGCGTCACATATTTATAAACAGACGTCCATCACGTCAGTAAACAGTCCAGCTGACCATCCAAATCTTGCTTACTGGAGGTCAAGCGTGTCCGTAATGGATGCCGTTTCCATCGTATCCTAGTCTGGCCTGTGGCGTGGTCTATATCTTCCCTGTCGCGTTGTACGTGGGATAGATAGTGGAAAAGAGAAACCGTAAGTTCATCCTCCTCAGGGTTTGCCAAAATAAACATGGGAGTATTTACTTGACGTACCTTTGATGTATTTACAGATAGTACACCAGTAATATACCGAAACAAATACTTTCTACCATTGTTTACACTGTATAGATAAATAATAACCAACAGATAACAACGCCAGACCTGAAACTTCAAACTTGTCAGAAATTCGCATGTGAATAACGTTACATGTAGTGGAAACATAATATTGTTATAGCTGTTGTAACAGTCGACTCCTGCGGGACCTGACGTTACAACTATCAACACACCCCTATAGAATATTGCATTATCAGATTCTCTCGATAATTCGCGAGAGAATAATGTCGAACGTAAGTTACAGCTATTTCCATGTGTGTTAACGATGTCTGTGTTTCCAGGGTCTCATTTATCTCCTTTACCCCGTGTTTTACACGATATTATGATTTCATTTAAACAACTTGTTTTTTACCACAAATTGATGCTATTTATCACGTCACCATCAGATAGTGGGTTATTCATATTGTCCTTCACTATACAATTCTTTTATCGTTATTTCTAGAGAAGCACTGGATGGGTAATCCTCTATTTTTAGATGTAGGGTCGCCTTAATGCCTATTCCTGCATAATCAATCGAGATTGGTCGAGAAAAGAATGTGCCGACAAGCGGCCATTCTCCTTTTTGAAAGTCAAAGCTCTTATCACCATTTCTGGGGAGGTACGGGACGGATCTTAATCAAACTCTATATGTAGATTTCCCTAAGTTCCTACTTGCAATTTTAGGTCTGAAATTAAGAATTGCTGAAAGGCCCTTTTTGTACTTTTTTTTATTTTCTGATGATTTTTTATTATTAAACAGTGATATGATATTATCAACAAGACCATCATCATCATCATCATCATCATTATCATCATCATACATAACACGAATGGCTGAAATACGGTCATCTTGGATTTTAACAGTCATTGTTTTTTATCGCTATTTCTTGCGAAGTCAGTGCAATTCCCAAATTTCATATACAGACTAACCTTAGTGTGTAGATATGCATTGCCAATTTTGGGATTGATCAGATGTCGGGTCAGTGCGCAACAAAAGCCATAAGTTTGTATTCCAATACTAATTATATTTAAATTGTTGAATACCAAATCTAACCCCACGATCATTCTGGTTCCTTGTTCCAATGAATATATTCATCTACTTCTAATTCTAGTACCACATACACAGAGATCCTTGATCCTTTACGATGCAAGGATTCTTGTTTTGATTGCTTTCTGAATCAGTATAAGATAATGAAGACAAATGTTTCCAGTGAGAGACATGTCACTGGCAGCTCCTCTGTCCAACCTAATTCCCCAGAGTCGCCACGTGGAACAAACCAACCACTTGTGGATTTCGTGCCTATAACAAATATTTTAATGACCTGACATGGTCGATGTTATTCTAGTTCATCACAGCAGCCAGCGTTGACACAGCATGACGGTGCTTGGCGATGATCTGGACAATAAAGCCATTTCCCGTCATTAGACAATTTACATAGTAAATAGGGGTTGACACTCGAGAGACCGAGTCGAGGTCCTCATTACAATGAATTGTGGACTTGTAAGCTGGAATATAGCCGGGGTTACTGTCGTAATTCCATGTTGTTTCATATTGATCACAACTATTTACACATCTGGCCATAATCTGAAATTAACTCGACAGATTGTTGTCTCTCTAATCACGAGTTATCACTGGACATTAATGGAACGCCAAGCATGTGCATTTACAAATTAGGTAATAGCAAGAATTGTTTAAAACATCAATGTTAATTTTCCTGACAAATAATAAAAAAAAACACTCGCGGCCGTTATGTGTGCATGGACTGACACGATTAGTATTTAAGGCGTGATCCGCTGCACTCTCTATTCTCCAATGAACAGTAAAATAATTGTGAAATGTTTAGCCATTCTGACTTGCTTTGGTGTGTAATGTTATTGGAAGAATTACCAATTTTTCTAATTCTAATATTGAACCGTCCTCAAAGTTTCGTGTGAGCGAGAGAAGATATATATGTTATCTAAATTTGACATATGTTTTTATACAACGTAATGGAATTAGTTCCCACAATAACAAGATCCCAGTACAATCACAGATGTTGGCCTGTACCTTGAGTAGATCTTATGGTACACCCTCGCTGTTGACAAAGAGATAAGGTGACCAGGGATTCCTGCAGGAAATGTGTTAAAATGTGACGAAAAAGTCTCGCTCTCTGACCCGATTTCGATTAGATATTAAATTTCGATTGAAGACAAGTTTATTGGTCCTTGTAACTTTAAATATATTTTATTTTCTAGAAGGCAGTATGATAAACCGCATGTGATACTGGGAATTCTCTCATAGCACTTCAGTTCCTTGTACGAGTGGCTGTGGTAACTTGTAGACATCTGTCTTGATAACAACTGAGAACAAATCCAGTCACATATGTAAAGAAAAGTAACATACCCTAAACAAGTTTTAATTGATTTCATCATTATGATTCTTTACTAAATTTCAAATTTTGTCTACTTCACAGGTAACAATGTCGTCCCCTGAAAAAGTCTACTCGATTAATATCGAGGACATCATTAAGGAATATACTTGGAACAGATTCCGAAAGTCCAAGCATTTTCTGCGACGACCATTCTACAGGAAAAGTAATTATTATATTGATATCAACTGGGGATACTTAGACTTTAATCATGACACCGTTAGATTTGACATCCGCCCCGAGAGTACTAGTACACTGCCAGAGGAAATAGCCTCCACAAGTGTTGAATCTAGTCCAGGCAAACAAAGTGTGGACAAAGACGGAAGCAAAAATGTGGTTCTGTACAAGTCTAGATATGAGAATAAGACGCCAATGGACCAACAGTACACGTTCTCAACGACTCGCGAGACAAAAGCATCATGTAACGTGGAATTCCAAGAAACGTACACCAAAGGAGCCGAATGTAACATCGAGATCAAGGTCCCGGGGGATATTGTCACTATAGGGGCAGGTCTAAGTGGAGAACTGGCAGTCACCAAGACAAAGAGCGAATCGTTCGAGGAAACAGTCACGTGGGAGGTCAACACACAGATAAATGTTGCCAGAGGTCACACGGCCGAGGCAACGGTGTTTGTGTCAGAACGCAACAGTATGGCTGACTTCGAAGTCAAATCGACCATGTCACTTCCGGATGGAAAGGATATGCCCGTCGCTGTTCGGCGCATCTCGGATGACATGGTCATGTATACAGATATTATAAACGATCTGGCTCCTGTGTTTTCAGAGGTAGCCAAGAAAAGTCAGATCGTTGAACTAGTGAAAAGTAAAGATCAGAAACGAGGCATGCTTCGATCGAATGTTATCTTAACAACTCATGGCACATGTAAAAGTATTTCATGGAAAAACCAACATGTCCATGTCAATTCTGAGCAAGTGGTTAAATATGATGATGATTTAGCAAAGGATGGTGATGAAAAGTGAATGGATCGATTGTTTCAAGCCTTTGTGATAGCGATTTTAAACGCTTGTGATAACTAAAGTAGAACTTTAAATGTACTTAACATAGTAGATAACGATTAGGCTTAAGCCTTATCTGCCAATAAACATAAGTGATGAATTCAAAATTAACACTCAAATTATATTAATTTGACCCGAACTCAACAAATATACGGTTGGGAAAGGAAAGAAAAGTCTTCGGCTGTGTTTAGTTCTGTTTACGAACATTTTCACTTATTAACCAATAGATATGTCTGGACAACCTTTGAACAAATGGAGCAAGACACCTCAGATAGTTGAATAGTCTTCTTTAGATATTGAAATCGGCAAATGAAGACTGACTGCTTAAAAAGAAATTCTGATGAACGTTTTACGTGTAGCTAAAGTAGAGAGACCATGCTCTCCTGAAATCAGTTGTGCCTTGGGCGTCCGTCACCTAGAAGTTCTTCCTTTATCAGACAACTGCCAGAATCAACTAGATGTGTTGTGTATCATTTTGAACATTGATGTGAACTTTGGACCGTCGGTGCTATCAGTGATGATATCGGACCACACTTCAAACAGATAAAAAATCATATTTTATAATTCAGAGACGAAGAAGTCTCGTACAGATAGACGCTATGTGAGATCAATTTACTTCCGAGTAGCGGAATTTGTGACATTACAGAAGGAGATGAACACAATAGTGATAATTCAATGATATTCTGTTATTATACATATTCTAGTAAATACATACATCTTTATTTCGGTATTTGGTTTTGTAATACTTAGTCCAAAGTTCAAATAATTTTAAGTAGAGTCACGTAGAATACGTTTGTACATACTGCATACTCCAACTGTCAGTTATTTGCCTATACGTAAATATAAACATTTTTAATTTTTAATTCAACATAATATATTCTAAATTTACATGTGTTATGAATAATGGATATCTTAATCCGTAATTGTGGAACGAATTTATGCCTGTGAAAGGGTAACTATTATTACGATTAATTATATATACACATATATTAGATGAAAATATGCAATAAAGTGATATCAGTCAATTTTCGTTTGAGATTCCTTCAACGTGCTAGAGAACTTTGTTTTGATTATATTCGCACTAAAGCATTTTATCAATACAGATATAATAGATAATAGACGTAACACTAATTTTGGTAGGTGATCTATTTTCGTTAATTTCGTGTTAACTCTTTCCCCAGAAATTCCAGTTCTATCAAAAGAAGAAACACTGCAAAGCCTAAGAATCTAAGAGTAAAGACATTGTAATACAGGAAGCTGTACTAATAAACAGTTATCAATAAAAACAACATTTTCCTATAGCTCGCCAAAATTCAACGTTAACGTCAAAACGTTTGACTTGCCGTGTACGCCACAATCAACCAACATCTAAATACACTTACAACACGGTAATGTGGGAACGCCCAGCACTACATTTTACCATCTACAAAACAAGTGAACTGGGTATTGCTGAAGTAATACATGTTCCCAATCGGCCTCACAAGCCATTACACTGCAATGAAATATCACTTTTCTAAAATTGTAGTGATAGTAACCTTGACCTTGATCTAGTAATACTAAGATAATTTGAACCTTAATAAGCGTGGATTTTGACAAAAATGTAATACTGACCTTGATCCCAAACCCTTGAAACTCGACCTTTAGTTTTATTTGCTTATTACATTTGCGAAGTTTGATAAGAATCTTTCATAGAACTGGGGTACTGACCCCTTCCCCTGGTAGGGGAATTATAAAGCAAAAATATTTGGAGAGCCGCTTATTAGCACTATACTTCATCATCGGCTGGCATTATGTGCCCCCGAATCGGAAACAAGCCTTTGGATATAGAATCAACTCCATCACGTAGCCTTAACATCGTAGGTTGGGGAAGCATGATTTTTACTATCAATAAAAAGAACATTCATCATTACCACACTTGTCACACAGCTGTTCCTTTTTGTTAGATATATATCAACTTCACCGGAAAATTCTGTCTCTAAAATTACAATTTATAGTCAATATTCACATGTATCATGCTGTTATTGATATTTACATATCAGTAAAAGCATATATGAATATTAATATTAAATTATCATTTTAGGGTCAGATTTTTCTGTCTAGAGATAGAGGTAAGCGAATAATGTAGAAGAGTCGGTCTTGTTTTTAATTTTCCATTCTGGTATGAATAGAATTAATAGAATAAATCTCCATCATCAATTCATCTGAAGGTGAATGTGTAGAATTCGACAAAGCCTTCTGCAGATCCCGCCTCGCATCAAAACGAAAAACATCAGCCTAGAACTGATCATTCTCACGGTGCATTTCATTTCATCTTTCCAGGTGCTTTTCACGAAATACGCTCATAGCACTGTTCACGTTTCTTTGAAAGAAAAAATTACACAACCGCAAGGGATTACGTTTCAGCATTTACCAAAATTTAAAAGAACTAAGTTTATCGTGATTTCATTAATGCATTTCCTAATTCCAGTAGCTTGGCTGTGACGGTTGACATACCTGTTAGGATGGACATCCAAACTATCGATCAATAACGATTTAATGAGAAAAACGTGTCGCGTAAAACGGTACAGAGATTAACAACTTAAGGTTTAATGAAAAATCGATAGATTGTCACCGGGAACCCAGGAACTAACTTCCATATAGGTTTTGAACGTTCGACTGGTTATTGTGTGACATATTTTACAAATAAAAGAAAAAGTTCATTTGGTAATTTCAGTTGCAGGTAAACTATGAAACGAGAAGATAGCATACAAGACCGATGTTACCGATGGAAAACTAAATGTGTTTATGTGGTAGATAAAACAGTGTTGATACTACACACACTCTTTTGGACTGTGATTTATTATAAAATGCAATTAAAGTTTTCCTCTCTTATTCAATACGCACGTTGGCTTTATTGCAAGATAGAGTATGAATGATTTAATGATTTAACATGAACTGTAGAATAATCAATTTTCGGGTGCATTTCATTTTCGTGGATTTTGTGGTTACCTTGATACCACAAGGAAGTGAACTGTTAAAACTTTGACACGAATCATTAGTATTAATTGATTTCGTGAAAATTGTTCATCCACTAAATCAAGAACCCATGAATAGTACTTTAAAAGAAAAGACTCGCGAAATGCGAGACACGTCAATATACATGAACTGACATTAGTAGATAAAAATCCCCAAAACAAAAAGAAATGTCGGCGTACATGTGGAGACCACGTAACTTCAGCATTATGTCACTACCTACATTTACCAGTTTTAATATCACGTGATGACTCGTACGTTTGTACTCACTGTATAATACATTTTACAGATTGTAAGCAGTTACTGACCTTCAATCCTTCATCATTTATCATTGAGAACAACTCTCATCTGCCCCACCCTCATTTACAAGTGGCCATCAGACCAGCAGGACATTGAACTCGAAACAAGCATTAGTCTTGTCATGTTATATTCTGCTCTCTTCTAGCGCTTTGAGACAAACATTGACGTCGTTACTAAGACAATGTACAGGTATACGTCTAGAAATACGTCGCTTAAAGAATCTAACTAAGATATGTTAATGTTGATCCTAACGAAACAAGAAAAGGGGACCTTCTTTAAAAAAAATACGAAAAAATATGTTCGAGATGGTTCGAGTGGTTCTATGAATATAAATATGTACGCTGTATATCAAATGGCATTTTATGTGGGCGTTGATTTTCATTTTACTAATTTATCGAATATATTTGGATACTTCTCTGTTATTTCAACATAAAATACAAGTATAGTGTATATTGCTTAAAGGGTTCATAAAATGGTGTTTAGTGATTTATTAATGAGCTGCTTTCAGAGTCTTGCAAGCTCTAAAAGCAGGTCTTGTCGTTGACCACGACATAAACATGCTGGTCCAGATCTACGGCGTTTTGAATTCTACATTTATAACCATGAATGAATGTTAAAGTAATTTCTCTTATCAAAGATGATAGACTTTTAAGTCAGAGAACATTGTCTGTATATATAATCTAGTTTAAAGTGTTTTTCATGTCTTCTGGTCAAGAATACGATTTGCAAATAAAAAAGTTTTTTCCTTAAAGTTTCCCTTCCCAAATACTATACTTTGGTGCCTCCTGTAAACTAAAGATTCCCTGATTGATAATTAGAAAAAAATATCTCTGTGAAAGTGTCAACAAGTATCATATCCATATTTTCAGTCTGATCCTACTACTTCATAAATACTTAAAGTTGAAATAAAAAGTAAGAAATCACGTTTCCAATTGAGAACAAGGTTCACGACAGCGGAACTAACAAACTAACGAGCTACAAAAACGTCCAGCTTCATATCGCACAGATAAATATAATATTCTCAAAGAAAATCGCTAACGACCATAAAATCTCCCCATAATTCTCATCAACCTGCACCTATTGAAACCCTGTGTTATGATTTAGTCAGCTGAAGACATTTTGCAAAAAAATCGTGATAATTGAAACGTATATATATAAATTTGAGAACGATCCAAAACTCCAAAACAAGCGATAACAACCTACGTGTGACGAAATCCAAGATGTCCGTCTGTTGGATTTTTTGGATAAGACCGAAAATCGGCCAATGCACAAAATGGGACAAAGAGGAATCTACACAAAGAATACATGATCATGGTGTATATTTTAAGACACTGACTATATTCTATTTATTCTGCAACATTGATTGAAAATCAGACCATCAAAACTTAAACAGTTTTGTTGTTAAATTTGTTTACCTGGCGTTGACATTACGCTGATTTTGATTAAGACATACGCCAACATAATTGCTCCGCGCGGAAATATAGTTCCAAACTTCAACCGATATAATAGCGATTTCATTAACTTTCATAAATCAACTTGTAAATTACAACATGTAAAATCGCTACATTTCTAAACGTATTATTTGAGTTACTACCGATGAAGGGAAGGTGTGAACGACACACTTACTATAGTATTGAACAAAGCACTGATACTATTGTATTGAAGTATTCAAATAATCGAGTCAAGTATACAACGACCTCTGTGATTGGTCGGGGGTGGAGTTTAGACAACCTGAATAGTTGATCTGACACCCAATTTGTACCGGTAGGCGGAGTTAATGTACACTATCAGTTACATAACAATTACGAAGTAATCGCTGGGAAAATGTCCGACGACGGCAACAGTACGCAAAATTTTCTACGTCAGATTGACCCAGGGTTGGCGAAATATGCGTCAGAATTCAAGAAATGTGATGTCAGCAATCTTAATACCTTGCGATATTTATTACCAAGTGAGGTAAATTCCATGGAAATGCCACAGGTGTACAAACGAATGGTGATAGATAAGATCATTAACATGCAAACGCCAGAAACTAAAAGTGCATTTAAAAAGAAAATGACGGCAGATGCCGGCACGGCCGCATCACATCCACCTAAACGGCTGAAGTTTGAAAACACTGTTAGTAGTCCCGGTATTGACGTTACGGATGCAGCAAAATCCGACTCGGGGATTTGTGGATCGACGCAGAATGACAGTTACCTTAAAAAAAACTGGGTCGTCTGAGAGACGAAAAGGAAACACTTGTGATTTTGCTTTCTCACAAAATCTAGTAGAGAATGACTATATGACTATATTCACTGTTAAAGATGTTATGAATTCTCCGGTCCCAGTGATCTAACCTGTTGATATATATATTGTACGTAAATTAGTTTAGTACTGAGTAACTTTCGTTTTCTCGTTGTACCATCGATGGAAAAGCAAGGTATCATTGGGTGTAGAACGAAACAAATGGGACAACCCAATTAGGTCTGATCTGAAGCCACCTGTGACTTGGACTCTTCCAATTAACCTCTCGCGACAGTCGAGTGTCTGTAAAATGCCGATGTCTGCACGGACTTTTTCACCTGGCTCCACCCACAATCGATCTAGACTTGGCTCTGCCAATCAGAGAGCTTGTTGCATAAATTTAAGGAATTCGATTGGTGAAGTACTTCAGTACAATACTATCAATACTTTGTTCAGTACTAGAGTACTTGAAACGTTCACACCTTCCCTTCATCGGTAGTAATTCAGAAAGTCTATCGATTGAATACACGTGCTAAAATACATGTTTTTCCGTCACTGCCAAATACAGCAAAAAACGTGTAGCAGGTGTATCATGACAATGGCAGCGTCAGTTGCAAGATAAATCTTTAGATAAAGATCCATCAAGTGCTTCTTTAAAGCAGTAAAAACCATTTTGTCAAAGTCCAAGATGGCAGCCTCTCGGCAATGTTGTTTCTCAAATCAGTCCGAAAACAGAACAATGCACAGCTTTGGACCATGGGGTCCCTACATATCACATGATATTTAACTATTAAATCCAAAATGGCCGCAGGTCGCCATTCCCCCCCTAATCAGTTTCAAAACTAAAAGGGTACAACCAGGAAGAAGGGCGAAAATAAAGAAATGCATAACTGAAAAAAGTGTGAAATATCATAACGAGGGCACAAATCTGTGGTCCTGACACTTCATGTGAAATTTAAAGAAGATCCATCGAAAAACGAACCCAGAACATAACATAAAAATTGTCTATGGACAGATAAACCACGACCGAGTCGATTTCATTGTATTTCCCAAACAGCAATGTTGGCGGGATAAATACCATAAACAAACATAGTTTAACGATGGATAGAACTTTCATCAGCTTATCATCAGAGAGAGAGAGAGAGAGAAAGATGAACTAAAAGACACCACTAGTTTACATGTTAAAACACAATTTATTTTCTAAGTATAGTTCTGAAGCTGCGTTAAGTAGAGTTCTATCTTATCACTTCCTAAGTAGGGGGTACCAAAACGGAATTACTGTTAATTATAAGCTCCACATTGCCACAGAATACACTGACTGAAAATTGTTTTTATTTTCCTTGTGTATAAAGTGATGGCTTAGAAATTGAGAGTTGTTAATCACGACCAATTTCAGCGCCAAACGTCATGCTTTTAGAAATCAGGAGAAATAGTTTCAACACAAATTCGATCCCTGTGATCAAGGGCATTTTTTAGCGCAAATGTTGTCAAGCTTCGTCCGAAAGACTTATTTGCCGAATATTATGCTTCTGGGTCTTGCGGTTGGTCAGAAAAACCAAGTTGTTTAAAGTGTTTACAAATTCAACCCTCGTGATCTCAAGTGTAGGTCAGTCATTCTTTCGCAAATACTGCCGCACATCATCCCAGAAACCCACCTGCCAAATATCACGATTCTCAAACTTTTGACAGAGCTGACCCTTGTGACATTGAATGCAGTCGAACCGTAGACCAACCAGCCAGATATCATGTTTCATGGTCTTTTCGATAATAAGAAGTTAATTAAATTTGATAACACATTTGATCCCCGTCAAGGTAATATCTCCCAGAAGCCAAATATCAACTTCATCACCTTCTGGTTCATTATCAGAAGTTCGGAAAAAGTTTCAACAAATTTGGCCCTTTCGAACTACAAAAGGGTCAATGTCTTTCACTTTTTGCAGATTTTGTCCAAATTCGTCCGCTAAATTTAATCTTTCTGGGCCTTTAATTGATCATCAGAATTTGTTTGAAGGTTTCACTATGACCTTCAATATGGGTCAGTCGTTTCAAATTTGTTTAGCTTCAACCCAGAACCAAGTAGCCAAATATAAGGATTTTCACCCTTCTGATATTCAATGTTTCAAGGTAATTTCTGTTGCAAACTTTTGTCAACATTCATTGAAGAGCTCAGACTTTTGGTTTACCAAAAGTCTTTAACAGGTTTTGACAAATGTGATGTCACCGTCATTTCATTTCGCAAACTTTTCCAGACTTCTTGGAGACCTACCAGTCATATATGCTTCTGGGCCTTTTGGCAAGTTGGAAGTATTTAAAGTTTTCAACCAATCTGTCTTTAAATATATATCATTTCTTAGACACATACGCACTTTAAATACTTTTGTTCTATACTAAGGATAAGAGCAAAAACTGTCCTCTACTTTTTTAGTTGAAATACAATGATACCTAGAATCATTTTAAAGAGAAAAGGACCATTGATGCATGGAAATTTCTTTCTGAGTGCTTGAAAGCAAGATGGACAACAATAAAACATTTATTTCTTTAAATTGTTTACTGGTATGGTACAATTATCTAGAACAAATTTTACGAATGTTAAATTTTAACTAAAAACCAGTCTCAATTATCCAAATAACTTATCATTTCTCTTGCAACGAAGGGGGCAATTAAGTAGTTCTTCATCTCAGTATCATAAATGTCCTTTGCTTAATTCAATAATGTTTAGCATGATTAATCAAATTTAAAAGAAGTGTTTTAGAATACCAAAGCGAGACAAGCAGTTTTTTTTTAGTTTCCTCCTCGGAGACGCAATACCAAATGGAGTGTAGATTCCTTCTGAATGTTGTAGTCAGACAATGTACGTCCATCTTCCAGCTGTTTACCGGCAAAGATGAGACGCTGCTGATCTGGGGGAATTCCTTCTTTGTCCTGGATCTTGGCTTTCACATTTTCAATACTGTCTGATGGCTCCACCTCAAGTGTGATGGTCTTTCCTGTCAATGTCTTGACAAAGATCTGCATACCTCCTCGGAGACGCAACACCAAGTGGAGTGTGGATTCCTTCTGAATGTTGTAGTCAGACAATGTACGTCCATCTTCCAGCTGTTTACCGGCAAAGATGAGACGCTGCTGATCTGGGGGAATTCCTTCTTTGTCCTGGATCTTGGCTTTCACATTTTCAATACTGTCTGATGGCTCCACCTCAAGTGTGATGGTCTTTCCTGTCAATGTCTTGACAAAGATCTGCATACCTCCTCGGAGACGCAATACCAAGTGGAGTGTGGATTCCTTCTGAATGTTGTAGTCAGACAATGTACGTCCATCTTCCAGCTGTTTACCGGCAAAGATGAGACGCTGCTGATCTGGGGGAATTCCTTCTTTGTCCTGGATCTTGGCTTTCACATTTTCAATACTGTCTGATGGCTCCACCTCAAGTGTGATGGTCTTTCCTGTCAATGTCTTGACAAAGATCTGCATACCTCCTCGGAGACGCAACACCAAGTGGAGTGTGGATTCCTTCTGGATGTTGTAGTCAGACAATGTACGTCCATCTTCCAGCTGTTTACCGGCAAAGATGAGACGCTGCTGATCTGGGGGAATTCCTTCTTTGTCCTGGATCTTGGCTTTCACATTTTCAATACTGTCTGATGGCTCCACCTCAAGTGTGATGGTCTTTCCTGTCAATGTCTTGACAAAGATCTGCATACCTCCTCGGAGACGCAATACCAAGTGGAGTGTGGATTCCTTCTGAATGTTGTAGTCAGACAATGTACGTCCATCTTCCAGCTGTTTACCGGCAAAGATGAGACGCTGCTGATCTGGGGGAATTCCTTCTTTGTCCTGGATCTTGGCTTTCACATTTTCAATACTGTCTGATGGCTCCACCTCAAGTGTGATGGTCTTTCCTGTCAATGTCTTGACAAAGATCTGCATACCTCCTCGGACGCAACACCAAGTGGAGTGTGGATTCCTTCTGAATGTTGTAGTCAGACAATGTACGTCCATCTTCCAGCTGTTTACCGGCAAAGATGAGACGCTGCTGATCTGGGGGAATTCCTTCTTTGTCCTGGATCTTGGCTTTCACATTTTCAATACTGTCTGATGGCTCCACCTCAAGTGTGATGGTCTTTCCTGTCAATGTCTTGACAAAGATCTGCATACCTCCTCGGAGACGCAATACCAAGTGGAGTGTGGATTCCTTTTGAATGTTGTAGTCAGACAATGTACGTCCATCTTCCAGCTGTTTACCGGCAAAGATGAGACGCTGCTGATCTGGGGGAATTCCTTCTTTGTCCTGGATCTTGGCTTTCACATTTTCAATACTGTCTGATGGCTCCACCTCAAGTGTGATGGTCTTTCCTGTCAATGTCTTGACAAAGATCTGCATACCTCCTCGGAGACGCAACACCAAGTGGAGTGTGGATTCCTTCTGAATGTTGTAGTCAGACAATGTACGTCCATCTTCCAGCTGTTTACCGGCAAAGATGAGACGCTGCTGATCTGGGGGAATTCCTTCTTTGTCCTGGATCTTGGCTTTCACATTTTCAATACTGTCTGATGGCTCCACCTCAAGTGTGATGGTCTTTCCTGTCAATGTCTTGACAAAGATCTGCATCTAAAAATTGTTGAGAAAAGATCATTTACTATTTACATTCTTTCACCATTGGAAGATTTTATAATACTTTTGGGTGTCTTTAATAGCGCTTTACAAAAATTGATATATTTTTGGGTACTGTTTTGACTCTTAAAAAGTCAAATCATAAAAAAAAAACTATTTTAAAATCTCTTAAACATCTCTTAAATATAATAATGAAACCAAAGATATTTTATCATCTATTAAAGATAGTTATGTAACCTTAGATATTCTTTCAGTACACAATTCACATTGATTTCAATGAATCTCTGAAGGTATAAATATTTTCAAAGACATCTTATTCAATTTGAAACAAAAATCTTTTTTTACACATGGTTCATACAAATTAACTTTAATATACAATTGTTTATCATTAATGTATTTAACAAGTTCATAATGCAACTATAAATCACCTAAACCCATCAAAATATTTAAAAAGGCATCACATCTAAATTACAATGGGTAGCAACATACCGTTTGCGCATAAATAATAACAGTGTTTCGTATCATCAATCCGTTTTATTACATTGGTTAATTCATTTATGTAAATTTACGTTTTCAAATGATGTCACAAATTTTCTAGAATGTTCTGGTTGTATATTTCCGTAATAAATTATGCTAAAAATAGCAGATTACGTAGCTATGATTGCATTTATTTTTGGCAGCCATTTTGGAAAGTTGATGGTCGCTTTTGTCCTATTAACTAGCCTAAAGGTTTGGTGGCAGAAAACATTATAATTTACACATAACGCGGCTATAAATGAATAAAATCAACAACTAGTTTATATTTTCGCTTACAAAACTGTTCGTTACAAGCGATTACATTTCATAGGACAATCGGATATAGAAAACGAAATAAATGCTCCCAGTCTAAAAACGATCAAACGAATAGAATCATTCGAGTTATGATTTCGAAATTAAAAACAGGTGAGAATCAACGCGAAATAAACAATCTTAAAGATTGTTTTCTTATAATTACCTTGATAGGGATATCTGTGCAGTCAACGATATGTGTTCACTGTACGAAGTCTGCTGCTTGAATAACAAAAAAGATGGCGTACTTGTCATTTAGTTGAAATTTTACATCATGTGATCAGTCATCAACCAATCAAATGTCCTGTTTCAAAATACCAATCAAACGCCTCCACGTTTAATGGTACGGCAGCAATCGAGAAGACATGTGAAACACGCCGGCGTCTGTGCACTAGACTTGGAAATTCTTATTTACAGTGATTGTAAGTGTTGAGCATTCTAAACAAAAAAGTATGAGAGACGAAGTTCCGTTCGCATGTTTATTTTGGCAGTTGTCCTGTGAAATGCTGATTCGCAAAGATTTCGAATATTTTGTATTTCGGTCATCATGAAAATTTTAACATCCACAATGTCAATTGTCAACGTCAAAATGTTATGTTTGTATATCACGAATTCGCTGTGTCTTTGTTTCCTAAAATTAATACGTTGTATTACATATTTGCAACTCTTTACTAAGAAAGTAGAATTTAGCTTAATCTTAATCACACGTCTAGACGGCAAGGCTAACCCACATACACTTTACAGTAAATTACTGTATAGGTCTTCACGTGCAGGTAGGCACATGACTATGCATTAATATCGAATACATGGTCATTGTCATACGATGTTGGCTATATTTTGACGAGGGAAAAGAAAATGTGGCGAGTCTTTGCCGAATCACTTTTATCGTTCTTTCCCGAGCCAAAATTACCTCGGACACTGACTACATATTTAAACCATGCAACATTTAAAGTTTCGGCCATCAAAATGTTAAAGGATTCTTGTTTAATCTACGTTGATGCTTCACCGATTTATGCCTGGTGGTGTAGATAAAAATATTTATTTGTTACCCCAAAAAATAAAGTCCAAAATTTAAGGGCTATTTACGACTCACCCCGATAATTAAGCTTTTGTAGTACAACTAACAAAACTCGCATATATTCATGCTTAAAAAGTATGTTAAGTCATTCAGAAATATTTTCCGTCACTGCAGAATGCAGCAAAAATACACTGGTACATGGCAATTATATCGGGACATTATTTGGAGTACTAGTTGAAGAATAAAGTATTTGTTAGATTTATGGCTTTTATATTAAAGCCACGGATATCACGATCAATAATCATGCTGATATAGAGTTGATTTAAATTTGGACCCTGTGTACCTCGACACACTAGTGCTGTCACTAGTAAATATGAATTACCATGGTATCTATATATATATATATGGAAAGGTAGGAAACTTTGATATGATTGGAGTTGACATAATTTCATTTTTCGACTGATATTTCTAAAACTGCTTCAGACAGGAGTATGTTGCTGATACCATTGTAAACAGGAATGCTTCTTAATAACGAGTTTTGTAACAGATTAATTGTTTTACTGTCATATGTATAGCTTTTATTGTAACAAGTCACCTGTATTTGTTAATGAGTTTAATTTACATTTATTTATTATGTTACAGTCATAGATGGTCACCTTGTGCTTTCTGTATTGTGGTGACACACTTGTTGCTAAAGTCATCACAACATGGAAAAAATACTAATTGTTTTTGGATATCTAATGTAGTCAAAATTTTGTTTAAACATAGCACAAAACATGTAAATACATACAAATGTGATGTTTGGTATTGGCAATACTGATTTTGAAAATGAAAAATTGCAGAAGATGTATTCTGTTCAATAATCAATTGTTGTTATTAATATTAATGTATGTAGTAATATATGTATGATCAGTTGACTTTCAAATTCAATCGGAAAGTACAGCGAAGATAAAACATTTTAACTGAATGATTTTTTCCCCAGAATTGCCAGTACTAAATCTGATGATGAAGATTCAGTTCCTTCTGTTTGGAATACTTTTCCTGATAACTGTCACACGGGTCAATTGTGAGAGTTTGGATGAAGATGATGAAGACAATGATGATGTTACTGTAGAGGAGGAGGAAGAGGAGGAGAGCATTGAAAAAGTAATTGTCTAATTAAAAGAAACCTTACGCAAGAATTGGTTTTCATAACTAAATCACAGATCAGGAATTCATAGAGTATATATGTGATATAATTGTATCATATTTTCTTTACATGTTATACTGATAAGTAAATGTTTGTAATGTCATTGAGACAGAAATTAGAAACTTGGAATAAGACTCCCATAGAGTTGTCTTCAGTATCAGACTAAATTCTGAGATAAAACATCACCTGATGACTCATCTCATAACCTTGCAGCTAGAACTAGCACAAAAATGACCATGTTTACCATGATATATGGTATAATCATTCATGATAGTTTATGAAAGCAGATTGTGAATTTTGAATAAATCAACTAAAAGGAAAAGAAAGATAGCACGGTGCTAAAGGGTGAAAAAAAAACAGATTATCTGGTAAAAATATTTTGACTTCAAGTAATTTCTGTAAACAAGTCAATTTGTTGCATTAGAAAATTCACTTTTCTGGTTGAAACATCCAAAAAAAGTATATGATCTGTTAATGCCACCTTCTGATTATCATTACTGATACATTTTCTGATGACAAGTAACTCATGATGTTAAGCCAGGTTTTATTGTACACTGATTGTACTTTTTGCAGATCCCATATAAACCACCTACATTGAAAGGAAATGCATACCTAGCAGAACCATTCAGTGACAAAGATGACTTCAAGACAAGGTATTTTTACCTACTGCATTTAGCATATTTATGTGTCATGACATTAAATATAAAAATACTGAACAAGATACCATGTTCATTTGCCTCTTAAGATCATGTAATGGGTACAGCAGATGAAATTCTTCAGTCCGACTTTGCAGAAAAATGAATCTCTTACTGACAATAATTTATCAGCTTCATCTCTTATACAATCATTACAATGTATGTAAAATGGTAACCGTCAGTCTTTTCCCCATTTCATAGGTGGACTGTTTCTCAAGCCAAGAAAGATGACACTGATGAGACTATTGCCAAATATGATGGTGAGCAAGCTGTTTTGAACTGTGTTGATCTGTATTTTGCCAGATCTCAGCATGGTTAGGGCAATGTCATTGTCAGTGAAAAAAGAAATACTTTGATCAATGATTATCTTTTTAACTGTTAATTCAGAAATGAAAAAGTTCAGAATACTGAAGTTTGTATATTTGTTGTCTACTTGATCAGGAAAATGGAGTCTAGAGGAGCCCAAAGATAATGCTATGGAAGGAGATTTGGCTTTGTTGTTGAAGGTTAGTTGATTATTACCCCCTCATGACGAGTCACTGAAGGGATTAAAGATCTGCCCTTAGCCCACAGTGTCTTTGTTCTTACTTCTTTGTGAAGCTTTACACACTTATTCACAGCCATAACCTCTTCCATGAGTTTGTGTCTTGACCACAGCGGGTGAAAAATAATGTCTTTCTTTCCATTCTTACAACTTTCAATGTAAACAGTAGGAAATATGAAATCAATAGTATTGACACATGCATCAATGCTGAACTAATCCTTATAATGTATTTATCATATTTCTGTGTTTTGCCATTCTTGCATTCTGTTTATAATATGTAAACAATAGATAGAATGTGATCTATAATTTTTCACTGTTTTTTGTTATATTTTAGACAAAGGCTAAGCATCATGCCATATCATCCAAACTGGACAAACCATACACATTTTCAGGAAAACCGTTCATTGTACAGTAAGTTTTTTTCATTAATTCTTTGAGAGAATCTGTGTTAGATTAGAATGTTTCTATTTGTGATTAATCATTTCAATTCTGACATATTATGATTTTATTAAGAAGATGTCCTGGTATTTGCACTCATTCCTGTTTAAAATATCTTACCATATAGACAATTTCTTATTGATAATGTAGTGCCATTAAAATGTTTAAGAATCCTACCATTGATGTATACACTGAGGCTTATTGTGCATAGTGAATACAACCACATGATGGTACTGACCATATATCAGGATCTGTCCTTTAGGATTTACCCAATTTTTATTTATCACAAAATAAAAGTTTAGATCCATATCCTTTATCTTTGACTGGCAAGAGGAGATAGCTGGATACTACCAGCATTAGCCAGTAATTGACCTTGAAAGTTAGTCTCAAGGTCGTAACATGGGAACAGTCGTGATTTCATATAAAATTACTAGGTTTTAATATACATACACAAACACATTCATGCTAAGCTGATCATCTGGTTCTAGTACATTGGTCATATTTTAGAAATACTAAAGATCCTGAACCTGTCGCTAAAATGTACTTGTTTATCCAAAAGAAGTAATATAACCATGCTGCAAAAACTATCCGTAAGGTCTCGACAAGGCCTTGGTGATTTTATATATCATATTGGAGGATACTGTTTTGCTATATTTGATTTTTGGCATATACTCCGGACTTACCGCAGGGTCAGGAAAATATTTAAAATGAAGTAGATGTATAACTTGCTATATGGTTTGCAAGCCATTACTATCACCTGTTTATACTGATATGATAATGAAAATGAGTGATGGCCATTCATATATTGTTAGGAAAAAAACATTGAAACATCTTGAAAAAAGAATTTATTAATCTGAAATGAAATTATGATCTGTGAAACATGAACTATCTTGTTTAGTGAATTGTACTGTAAGATCTGCTCCTAGATTAATTTTGTTTCACGACTTCATTTTTCATCCCTTGCTATTATTTTACAGTTATATTCCTTATCCTTATTGATAATGAAAAAGTATGATACTTCATCTGTAATAGTCCTAACAATTTGAGAAATTGAGAACAGTCCATTGTCGCATTGTAACCTAGTAACATACACACGTTTCTTTTTTTGTAGATATGAAGTAAAATTCCAGAATGGCATTGACTGTGGTGGAGCTTATGTCAAACTTCTCTCTGATGACAAGAAGCTGGATCTGGTAAGTGTATACTCTCTTATCTTCACAGAATTACAGATATGAAAGACTGGATTCTCCAGATTGATACAATTTTAAGACAACTAGAACATAATATGTTATTGAAGTAATTTGTGCTCTACAGAAATCTCTTAGGTGTCATAATTTATTCCCTTAACATCACCAGTGGCGAGTCTAGGAATTATAAAACAGCTGTACAACATAGAATTCATTATTTGGCTCTACTTTGTGTCATTCTTAATTTGTATTGAAAGACGCTACACTTTATTCACTTTTGTGTCTTTTGCACATTCAGGGAACATATCTCTGTTAAAATTTTATTTGTCTTCTGTAATTATACAGACATTTTGACATGCTTATTATGTATTAGAGTTTTCATAAAGTCATATGAAACTGCTAGAGCTACCATATATTGTCATATTGGATAAACTGGCAAGATTGAAAAAGAATAGAATTTTCTGAAATGAAATGTTTGAATTCCTAAAAAAAAACCCATGTTTGTGATCACCTGTAATCTGTCACTTTAGTTTTATTAAAAACCCTAGATTTAACACTATTGCTGTTAGTTAAAAGTATAGAACTTCTCACTAGATTTACCTGAACAAAGCTATAGACTGACTTCTGTAATAGACAATCTGTTTAATCAGTCATTAAGATTATCTTTTCATTTGATTTGATTTCCAGAAAAAGTTCCATGACAAGACTCCCTACACTGTTATGTTTGGACCCGACAAGTGTGGCATGGACCATAAAGTAAGATTTCCTTACTCAAATGTACACAAGACTGATGTGAATGACATCGAAAATTGGCAAAATATACCTGATGATAAATACTTGAGCAGATAAAGGCCTGGAGTAGCTACCTGACTAGCTTTTAGCTTAACTGTCCAAACAGCAGACGATGATATCCATTGTCTGGCTCACAAACGATCAAGGAGTGTCACAGAGATGAAATATATCAAAATATTGAAATTACTTCTGTGTGATTAAGATGCCTGAAATCATGATAGCTGGTGAATATGATTCCAAAATAACCGATTTAAAGATTTGGTTTTCAACCTATACAGAGTTGAAATGTATTGTGTCAAATAAGCTAAATTTTGAAAGAATAGCTAGGGAAAATGCAAACTGATAAACATCCACAATAACTTATGATGTTCACTACAGCAAGATTGATAAAACGTTACCATTACAGACCAAATAGGCCTCTTGTTTTGGTACCTATGATCATAAACAGGTGGACTGTAAGTCTCACAAATTGGAACAAGTGGAATGGCTGTCATCATAAGATTTCATGATTTGGCAGAGTATCAAGAATAGTAATAGATATTGAAAACTTAATCTCTTTCTGACTGTCCGTTAAAAATGTGAAGGTGGTAAAATTATTTTTAGTAATATTACTACACACAGAATTCTGTATCAGTTGAATTGCATAGACGAAAGGTAGAAAATGTTATAGTACTTTGTTTGGTACTGTTCTCCGGCAGTGATTACTTATACTCATATATTTGTGTACGAATTAAATGAAATGTTAGGTACTTAAGCAAAAATATTTAAAAAAAAAAACAAGATTCCTTCAAGACCAGTCGATATTGATAGTGTTCTTTTTCTCTTCTTAGCTTCACTTTATCTTCCGACATAAGAACCCAGTGACCGGAGAGTATGAGGTAAGTGATGACTCTCTAACCAACGGTTTTAACATTTGTGGCTGATGTCATAGGAATATTATAATAACAAAAGTAATCAGCTATTATAGGTACAAGGTATTCACCACAATGCAATCATTATTGTGGCAAGTCTATTGGAGAAAGTGGTATATGTTCTTTAACTGGATAATCAAAAATTTTCATTGGTTTTTGATGCGTTTTCGTTTTCTTTACTAATAGAAAGTTTTTGATGCATTTTTAGGGGTATATATGTATATTCAATTGAGACCAATTTTGCCTTGGATACTTTGGGATAAAAAAGATAATTGAAAATGCATTAATTCAATGATTGAGAATTGATGGTTGAAAGTTCACATTTCTGTTTCATTTCATTTACAGGAGAAACATGCCAAAAAACCAACCACTAACATTGACAAACATTTCTCCGACAAGAAGACACATATGTATACATTGGGTATGTTACATTAAGACACATACACACATTTGTAAATATGCAATGGGATGTGTTCATGCAATATGTTCAGTCATGCATGGAAAAAGTATGTTGTAATACTATTACTTAGAAGTAATTTCATTCAGATATTTTTAATCTAACTTGGCAGGATTCTTAGTATAAATGTACAGTTTTTCAGAGAGTTTGTTGATCATCAGATTAAAGCAAAAATCAGCATGTGAGTACACAAATTGAAGTGAAGTGAAAGACTTTTATGTTTATAGTTGTAAACCCTGACAACACTTTTGAGATGTTGGTGGACAACAGTTTGGTGAATGAGGGGAGTTTGCTCGATGATGTCAGGTCAGTACCAATGAAATCTCTTTTGTTTTGCTTCATTGGGCATCAAAACAACATCAGTAAACAAAAATATAGTACATGTATGTACCATTGTGTTAAAAACTATTGCTTAAGTTTGTAATATTTTTCTTTTTTACCAGATTTAGCAGATAATAGTATGTTTATGTATTTTTTTACAACGGTTCTGGATGTTCACATTCACAGGGTGATATACAAATAGCCATTAAGAAATTGTTAAAGTTTGTTGATCTTGTTTAGGTTAAGATGCATTGTTAACTTTGTCATTCACCACCATGGTGTCTATATAACAGTGATACTCTAATTGAGATATCAATAATAGATATTTATTTGGATTAATTGTATTTTAGTCCCCCTGTCAATCCACCAAAAGAAATCGATGACCCCAATGACAAGAAACCATCTGATTGGGATGAAAGGGAAAAGTAAGTGGCTTTAAATTGCGCTTTGCAACATCACATCAATTCCTTGTTCTAATCTAAACAGATATTTATACTGCATTGAAATTTAATTTCGATTATTACAGGATGTCATTGTTAAGCAATAATACTGAACAGCTTTGTTTAACATACCCCTGGTTATGATGACTATAATGTCCATGATTTTGACAGACATTGTTCATTTATGAAATTATTACCTTGCATAATTAATGAAGTCTCTTCAGATTTTGTTTGTAAATTGTACTTATTGGTTAAAGTCTATATTTTGCTTCTTTATCTCCTTAAGGTTAAAACAAAATTGTTTTATACTTAGCTCTGTTTTTTTACATATATTTGAGAATATGTGTCTATACTAGAATTGGTTACTCTGATCTTTGTCTTTTCACCGTTGAGCTCTGCTCATATTTAAATCTGAAACAAGGTCTTAAACATTAAGATTTGAAATACAGTAGAACGTTGTGTGATCAGAAATTCAAGAGGAAATAAATATTGATTTACAGAAAACTGAAACATGGAAATTGAAGCATGTCTGAAATTTTGAGGTTACAAAAAAAAATACAGCTAACAAATGGAAGTGATCGAAACACAATTTAACTGACGAACGATCATGTGCCATAGGAAAATATTACTATCATACAACATACACTTAATTTGATGTTAGAACAATTAAAATTGATTTCAATAATCAAGAAAGATTTCAATATCTTACCTTATTCTCCATATAGATGGTAGATAGAGGACTGGTTTGAAATTTTGTTTTTATTTTTCTTCAGAATTCAAGATCCTGAAGCTTCCAAACCAGAAGACTGGTAAGTTCACATTTTTTATATAGTCCATTCATTTCAAGGACTTATTTTTAAGGTCAGATACTAAGATTTTAGAGGATGTTGTTTCAATCTGAAATATTTGTTTACATGAAAAATGGAGGTTTTACGATAACTTCTATTTCATGTATGAAAGAAATGGTTCTGATCATTTAGTGAGGAGTAGTTTAGAAGTTTTGATCATGTGTGTGTGCATTCATACGATGTTCTTGTGTATTATACTTCTCTTCATTTAAATAGTGATGTAAATATACTTTAAAACATTTAGCAGCAGGGGTTGAAGTTATGATTGGAGGTGCCATTTTGATATCCATTTGACTTTCAAATTTTAGAGAAATTATACAGATTCTGAAACTTAAAAAAAACATGTTAGCATTAAAACTGCACCATGTGTGAAATAATAGTACTACAAAATGATGTTTCGAAGGAAACATACACCTTTGTGTTACTGATTTTCTAGGGGAAATTTGAGAAATATTTTGCACTCATCATATACCACATATATAGATACCCAAAAATGTTTATGTATTGTAAATTTTCCTTATTGGCTGACAGGGATGAGAGCGAACCAGAAAAGATTGTGGATGAGGATGCAGTTATGCCCAGTGGTTGGCTAGAAGAAGAATCAGAGCTAATTCCAGACCCAGAGGCAGAGAAACCATCTGACTGGTAGGCTCTCCATATATACTGTTTTAGTATTTGAAATAGATATTTGATAAATATTGAATTGTGATAATAGTGTTCAGTCAGCCACATGTATAAGCATGTGATGTTAATACACTTCATAGGAAAAAGCTTTGTAAAGTGCAGGAGTGTAACATTGTTTTTAAGACAAGACTGATGAGCACACAAAGGCAAATGTTAATTCCTTTTGCTTTTGAGTTTATTTGCATTTGTCATGGAAGGAATCAGAGAGAATTCATGTTTTAAGGTTTGATAGAAATATCATTAAATGTTTTATTTCAGTTGAAATGGAATAAGATGAGACATTATTTTCTTTGACAGGGATGATGACATGGATGGTGACTGGGAGGCTCCACTTATAAGTAAGTATTATAGATGAAGTAGAGCAAATGCAATCCAAACCATGTTAGTAAAATATAAAGTTAGGTTCTCTGTGGAGGCTGACATTAGTAAAATATAAAGTTAGGTTCTCTGTGGAGGCTGACATTAGTAAAATATAAAGTTAGGTTTTCCGTGCAGGCTGACATTAGTAAAATATAAAGTTAGGTTCTCTGTGGAGGCTGAAATAATTTCACTGGATAGAACTTTTTCCCTGGGGGCAGTACAAAGCATTCAATATTTCTTCCTTTTAGTTTCAGCATCAATTTAAATGTCCTCTCCTGATATACTTGTGTCAAGTAATTGAATATAAATATTGATTTAACTTGTTTTGATTAAACCATTTCATTGGAATTCTGTTCAATAGTTTTGGGGCAGTGAAAGTTCAGTTGGTGTACATAACCACAGGTGGATATCAGAGGTAGGGTAGAGTGTTGGTGTACATAACCACAGGTGGATATCAGAGATAGGGTAGAGTGTTGGTGTACATAACCACAGGTGGATATCAGAGGTAGGGTAGAGAGTTGGTGTACATAACCACAGGTGGATATCAGAGGTAGGGTAGAGTGTTGGTGTACATGACCTCAGGTGGATATCAGAGGTAGGGTAGAGTGTTGGTGTACATAACCTCAGGTGGATATCAGAGGTAGGGTAGAGTGCTGGTGTACATAACCTCGGGTGGATATCAGAGGTAGGGTAGAGAGTTGGTGTACATAACCACAGGTGGATATCAGAGGTAGGGTAGAGTGTTGGTGTACATGACCTCAGGTGGATATCAGAGGTAGGGTAGAGTGTTGGTGTACATAACCTCAGGTGGATATCAGAGGTAGGGTAGAGTGCTGGTGTACATAACCTCGGGTGGATATCAGAGGTAGGGTAGAGAGTTGGTGTACATAACCTCCGGTGAATATCAGAGGTAGGGTAGAGTGCTGGTGTACATAACCTCCGGTGGATATCAGAGGTAGGGTAGAGTGTTGGTGTACATGACCTCAGGTGGATATCAGAGGTAGGGTAGAGAGTTGGTGTACATAACCACAGGTGGATATCAGAGGTAGGGTAGAGTGTTGGTGTACATAACCACAGGTGGATATCAGAGGTAGGGTAGAGAGTTGGTGTACATAACCACAGGTGGATATCAGAGGTAGGGTAGAGTGTTGGTGTACATAACCACAGGTGGATATCAGAGGTAGGGTAGAGAGTTGGTGTACATAACCTCCGGTGAATATCAGAGGTAGGGTAGAGTGCTGGTGTACATAACCTCCGGTGAATATCAGAGACATATGGTGTGATGCTCCCTACCTGTGGTGGTTTGTGTGTATCTGAAAGTTGAGAAAGTTGAGTGCTGTTTGGTTGCTTCATTGGGCATAACACTTATCCCAATTTGTTTTGGTGAGAACAGCATGTGACAGGCCTCCTGTTTGTTTTTCAGTGACTAGCTACTACAATTAAACCATGCCTATAAATCATCCTGACTGTTCACTGAGCAATAATCCCAGCACACAAACAAATGATAGTATGTATCGATGATACCTCTTTTGATGATATAGTCAAGGTGTTGTACATATAACATATGTTTGTTGGGTGTTATTAGTGACGTTACCATAATCATGAAATGATGAATGCTGATACTTTGTGGTTCTTTTACAGACAACCCCAAATGTCAGAATGCCCCAGGCTGTGGTAAATGGGAGAAACCTAGCATTAAAAACCCTAAATACAAGGGCAAGTGGTCTGCCCCTGTCATCGATAACCCAGACTACCAGGTAAGGTTTAAGTAGTGGGTTAAAACTAGAATGGACTCTTGTGTTCAAGGAGAATATTACATATAATCATTTTGATTTTCTTTTTTCCAATTTCATTACCTGAATGGTTAGATATATGACAAACTCTGTAGATGTAATGCTTTACCAATATACCTATGTTATATTGGCCGTTAAGATGAGAAAAGCTGTTCCATGGTTATAATATTGAAGGGAAGGTTCTACTGCCCCTCAGTTTAACAGAGATTAAAATCTTGTGTGTGGCAGATTGGTGGATTTCAACCTTTTTGACTCTCAGAAAATATGAAATACCATTTATATATATTAATGAAATTTGGCCTCTGTTAAGACTTTTTGTTTTTATTTCAGAATTAATAATTTAGGTGCAGTAGATTTAATACATTTTTTAATTTTGTTTTCAAGGGTGTGTGGAAGCCAAGGAAGATAGAGAACCCTGCCTACTTTGAAGATCTTGAGCCATACAAAATGACCTCTGTTGTAAGTTTAAAGAAATGTTATGCCTGCATTGTTTTTTGTAAGATACGAAAACATTAAAATTCATAAATATTATTTTAAAATGAATGGCTTATTAAAGCAATTTTCTTTACAATGGAAGTTTTCACATGACTTGTTGAGGAAATCTTTGTTAGTGGTAAAGTTCTTCAGGTATGGAATGTAGTGAAAAATGGAAATTAACATTGAAATATTGATCTCTATTACAGGGTGCTGTAGGACTGGAGCTGTGGTCTATGAATGATGACATTGTTTTTGACAATTTCCTAATCACAGATGACAAATCAGTGGCTGAGCAGTGGGCTGTGGAGACATGGGAGATAAAATCTGTACAAGAGAAGGCTAAGTCAGGAGTAAGCTAATCCCAAGTCACATCAACAGAACAGAAAAAGTTCACATACAAAACTTACTCCATGATTAGAAATTTTTATGCTCCTTGAAAATTTTCAGGAACATACGGTCGCTGCTTTGTCAATCTATCCTTTTGTGACTGGAGCATAACTTTGCCTACAGTTAAGCAAGGATCATGAAAGTTGGTGATACATTGGTCATACTAAGATGATGTTTAGGGCACCAAATTCAAGGCCCAAAACCCTTAAATACTTTGATAAACTTTTGTGTCAGGAGCATAACTTTGCTTGCATTTAAACTAAGAAAATGAAACTTGATGTATACGTTGACCATTTTAAGATAATATGCAGTGTACCAAATTCAGGGCCTGCAATCCCTTATTTACAAAGTTATTGCCCTGTGTTATTTATTGAGACCAGAGCAAGTTTTGAATTGCTTGTACTAGGAAAATGAAACTTGGTGTATACATTGATCATTTCAAGAAAATATGCAGTGCAACACTGTTGGGCCTGCAACCCCTCAGATATAGTTTTTTTCTGGGAGCATTACTCACTGATACTCCTGGTATGTTTACCTTTAGATCTAAACAACGTTTTCGGTAGGGCGGGGTGGGTGGGGATTATTTTAGTTTTATAATTTTAAAACTAAAATAATATTTGATGAGTTATTGTGCTTATCATACATTATCACATTTGTATAGTTCGCTTGATTCCATTTGTAATTTATGAAGATAAACTGACCATTTATGCCATGACTTTTCAGAGAAGTGTTGTTGATGCAGTGTTAGATGCTACCAAGGATAGGCCTTGGCTCTGGGCAGTCATTCTCGTAGTAGTTGTACTGCCGATTGTTCTGATCATAGCATATTGCTGTATGTCTAAATCTGAGGTAAGCCATAGTAGGGGCATAGAATGGAAAATTAGTGTATGTAACTCACAGCATATGGACACTTCACCTGATTCCCAGTGCCAGATTTTCTAAACTGGTTATGTGACACCATGCCTGTGTATTTAGTTAAAGTTGGCAGGAATAGGTTATGTGTCCCAATGTTGTTAGTTGATATGTTGTACAGTCTGATCAGACTGGTAGAGAGAAGATGTTCTAACCCTAGTGCACATTGTCAATATAAATCTTGAATAAATGATGAAAAAACCCTACAGTGTTCTTATGAGGATTTCTACAGTAAAACATCTATTGCACCTGAGGACACCAGGTTTAATTTTATGGATACTTCCCAATTTTCTGAGAAGTTATAAGCAGGAAACTGAAAATATGATTTTGGAGTCTAGGAGAGTGAACTAGATGTTTTACTTTTAATATACCTAACTCAAATTTTGTATTCAAAGAAATGCCATTTTTGTTGAAACAAAAAAAACTTATGAGACCAGACACAATGTGTACTTTGATGGATAGAACATCTTCTGTTCACTAGTCTGTTATCATGTGATGCATGTTGATATGATGGTTTTGTTGTGGATACAGGGAAGCTTGTGGAAGACCCTGCATACAGCTGCTGACCAATATCCCTGGCTCTGGGCCATTTATATAGTTGTTCTTTTACTGCCTGTACTCCTGCTGTCCATATGTCTTTGCCCAAGGACCGGACCCATAACGGTACTGCTGCCTTCTCACAGTGCTTTGTTTGACTAACACTACACTAATACTATCGTATTTGGGTGTTCCAGTGGTTTTTTTTTGTTTTTTTTGTTTTTTTTTTTTCAAATTTAAGACTGGTCAAAAATACAACTTGACCCACAGGCAGTAGTCTTGGATTGCTGGATTGCTATAAGTCAAATTTCATATAATGGTATCCCTTAGTCCCAGTTGTGCATATTTGATTATGGGACTGACTTGAAAACTTAAATAGTTGACAGACAGCCATCTTTGACGTTGAAAATTATAGTTTGAATTGTTCTTTCTTTGATTAAAATAACCAGAATACATGCCTGCACTGAGTAATTTAAGAACACTTCCTTTGTTTTCCATTGGTGACTTCAATGGTTGCCTTTAGTTAAATGGGTAGGTACATATCATTTCAGACAAACAGATCCTTGGGTCTTTGATGTTTTTACTGCTGAGTTCTCAGCATAAACTCTGAGCTGAAGTAGATTCAGCTGCTGTTTTTATCAAAATATTAAATAGTTGCATGATGTCTTTATAGAATTCCTGATAGGATAGTGTTTCTTACATGTCTGTGTGTATGATATAACTTAATGGTATAGATTTAAAAAATACTTGGTTTTCTTTTGTAACATACTTTTCTTAATTTTTGTGAATTGTATAGATTTTGACTTGTTTTTCCCTGAAAAACACTTTTGTTACATAGAATGAGTCCATTTTATTAAAATATTCATAACCCACAAAAAACCATGATAAGATTGGCTTGCCATATCATCTTGGATTAAAGCAAGGATAACATTTTTTTATCTTTGAATATTGAATGAAATAACTCTAAAATTGTGTTGCAGCCGGAAAAGATTGAGAGTCACAAGAAGAAGACTGATGAATCATCTCCAGATGAAACTGAAGAGAAGGAAGAGGGAGAAGAAGAGGAGGAAGGTGAAGATGTTGGACCAGGGGGAGATAACCCATCTCCACCAAGGAAGTCCAAAGCTGATCTAGAGGCAGATGAGGTATACAATTTCTTTATTAATTGATTTAAAAGTTGCACCATATTTAATATAGGATAAGTTTTGTTCACAGAAAAATGAATTGTAATTTCATAGTTTTCAAAAGTGAAAGGATAAAATAATATCATGTTTCTGAATTGATGAAATATTGTTCCACATTTCTGAAGGCATAAATCTTTCCAAGTTGTCCACCCTTTCCATGTAGGAAGACCTCCTTCCTAGTAAAGGCAAATACAGTTTTGTATATGTGGCATATTTCTGAAGTGGGAGCTAAGAGATGGGAAACAATATTTAATCATGATATCTTTACTCACAGACAAATGATGCGGATGAAGAAGATGAAGAGGAAACAGAAGTAGCTGAGAATACATCCCAAAATGTAGATTCACCTAGGTAAGCTAGGGTATCACAAATCAAACACTGTTTACTTTCATTAAATATGACCTTTTTATATGGAATATGTGTAAAAAAAATCATTATTTTGAAAACTTGTGATGTACATGGTAGATTGTTAAATTTTTTAGAGATAACCATGAGCATGGTCTTACAAGCCTATGACTTAAGTTGAATCTAGTTATCAAAAATTGAATAGCTGATTTTATGAATTCCCAGTACAAGCATTTAGATTCAGAAAAAATATTAGTCCTCATGTTGTAGAAAAATCCTCAAAACACTTTGCAATTTTCACTTTACATACATCATGCAGGTAAGTGATTAGTGCCAATCTTGGACATGATTCCTTTCCTTCCATTTATAATGACATTACATCATAAATCTTCAAGTGACAGCTGAACCTTTTTTAGATCTATTTAGAAATACTGAAGACAACCTTGCATCATAAATTTCTGCCATTTCTAATTCTTTTTTTTTTTTTTTTTTTTTTTTTAAATGTGCATTATAAATATAATAAATGATCTCAAATTATGAAATGCCTAACCAGTAACTTACTAAATTAGGTAATTTATTTACAGACTTGAAAACTTTCCAAAATGCTCGTTATTGACACCGCAAAGAGCTTGGTGGTCTCCTTCACTTCTCAAAAGATCTATGACACTGTCCGCTTTCCAGTTACTCTACTTCATCAATAAGAATTTCTTTGTCTTTTATAGGAGATCATCACCAAGGAAGAGGAAGTCTAGGAAAGATTAACTCACTGTTAATAGGAGACTGATGCAGTGATAAGTTATGGGTGGTTTGTGTGTGCAAGTTGTTAAAAGAAGAATATAATCCACTGTCCGGATGGCTCTTTTAGGTTGGAGTTATTCCCTGTGATGTCCATGTGTGAAGATGAGTGTCCGTTTCCCTCCAGGGACAGTGGATAAAGATGCACAGATAATTAGTAATACACCTATGTAGTTGTGTGAGTTGATGCCATGAGGGTCCTACATCCTGTGAGTGGTATTCATTGATAAATGCCCTGGTCATCTACGACATATCTGTCCAGATCTCTTTCCAAATAAGTGTTGAAATTATCATTTAATTGCCTTCAAACAGTGTCATAACTTTCTATTTTTATTAAAAACCCTAACTCAATTTTCAACATGATCTTACCAGACTTTGGAAAGTTATACTTTTTATCTCTTTTTTGAAATAATCCTTCAAAACTCCTGCTTGATGACCGTGGGATATATGACCAGGTCTTGAGAATATGCCACTGTTCTTGTTGAAATCTTCAATTGATCAGGTAATTTTGTGTTCTACAGCTTTGGTTAAAGGGTGATTTTTAATCTCATCTCAACAGATATTTCTAAATGGATGTTCATTGTAGAGAAACATTGTGTTAAAGATTAAGCAATGTGTATGTTGACATTTGTGGCATAACGTCACTCCACAAGGAATGGGTGAGAGTACATATTTTGTTAATGTACCGGTATGTAAGCTGAGGAAGTGATTATGCGTCAGTTAGATAGTGCAGTGTATTATTATATGGACATAAGTATTGTGGAGGATTAGAGAGTTTTTAATTTACTTGTTAGTACAAATGTTATCCAAGGTCATGTGTTTAAGACGGTCTTTATGTGGTTGAAGTTCGAGTATGCATGCAGTTCCTAGTGTATGTCATGGTTTTGTGTATGTGTCATTTCTTCTTCCTTCACAGTTAACTAAAGATATGCTTCAGGTGGTAGTTGTTACAGACATCTGTGTTTCAGGCAGGTGGTAAATGATATCTACTGTGAAACATGCCAGATATGAATCCATATTTTGTAATGTTGTCACATTTATGTTTAACTAGGCAGGGAATTGTAACATAAAGTAGTGGTTTCCTCGTGTCTTGTAAAACATGAATGTCCTTTTTTAAACCCAAAATTTTGTTTGTTTACCCAGAGGTAGACAAGGGCTCTATATGGTATTTTATTTCATCTATTAAGACCCTTGTTTCTTGTTGTATTGCTCATTGAAGCACAATAGTGTGTCCTTTTTGATTTGTGTACATGTCCAGACTATTGATCTCATTAACATGTTCAGTTCATTAGCTTTATACACTTCATTATGTACACTTGTTCAAACATTAGTGTGTCCATGGAGATAAGTTATGCTGTATCCATGAAGGTTTAGATATTTCTATTTATGCAAATCTGTTCTTCCACATGCCAAGAATACATCTTTATTATACCCCCACTTATTAGATAAGGGGGTATATCTGGTAATCATGTGTTTCCATCTATACATGCATCTTTAATAAACTTGTGTACAAGATATTTCATGAATCTATGAACAGATTTATTTCTTAATCGCACCATAGCATCACCCTACCAAGGTCTACACCTGATAAAATTTTGGTGACCATTGGACAAGGTTAAAGGTCATTGGTCAACCTTTACGATTTTGAAATAAAAAACATTAGTAAAATGTATCTCACGAACTGCTTAATATGTTGTCCCTGTAATAGATAATCAAAAAGAAAAATGAGATCAAGGGTATATTTATATGAGCCACTCCTGACTTTGTTTTTATCCTGAAAACACTTAACATCACTGTCTTGAAAACTGTAATAGTAAAGTGAGTCTGGCCCAGGTTTGTTTTAACCTTTTGAGAAAATGATCATTTTGAATGTGGATTATGTGTAAGAAATGTGTGAAGACCAGTAGATAATATTGTCATTTAATGATTGTCTGATTTTCTAATTTATCTACCTGTGTTTTGAATATGATGTCCCTAGATGTACAATATTCTTGCTTTTTTACCTTAACCTATGAAAACCTTTATGTAATCAAACCACATACATAATGTGTTTAAGTATGTCCAGGCTAACAAAGCCTGTTGTTTCTGTATGACATGTTGATTGTCTCCTTGTTAAGGAACAATGATCATTATTTCATTGTTAAAGATATAGATTATGTAGGAGTTCTGTGGAATTCTTCGATCACTGACCTACAAGAACTGTTCAGTTTGGGATACCAGTTACATAACTTACCACTGCTCTCATGGTGTCTATTACATGACCATAGTATTGTAATATAGAGGCATGATCTGAGGATTTTTGTTTAGATTTTAATAGTCTATCGCTAATTTGAGCCTCACAAATGATTGTCTACATCTCATTTTATGTTCTACTTAGCTATACTTTCTGTTGTTGGATCAGAACATAGCTCCATTATTTTTATTCGATACTGAAAAATAGAGTAGCCTACATTGTAAACATCATGGAACTTATCTTTATTATCTTTTTCATTCAGACTGGTCATTTTTTCTGCCTGTAAGATGTAAATCTTTGCAAATGTAATTAAGTTTTAAAGTTGCTGAAGTACAAAACAATGTTAGAAAAGAATTCTGAGGTTAAATAGACTATTATAATGGATGTCTTGATTATGTATGCTTTTGCTAAAATAGGAACATTATAAAATCATGATGTTTTGTAACAGTAAAACATTGGACATTAAAACAAAAGCACCACCTCAAACTTAATGGTATGTTCAGATTGAGGAGATTCCACTATGTTGTAATCTATTTGATATAATGAACATCTAGTCGAACACATTCATTCTCACTGTTACTTAGATGTGCTGTGTAAAAAATATACTGGGGAGAAGACTGAGCATTATTTACCTTTTTAAGATTTGTACATTATGATAAGGCGAAGTACAGTATTTTTTTCACCTTGTGTTCTAATTTGATTATAGTTATTAACAGAATGTAACCATACTACAATAATTTGAAGTTGATCATATTATACCAAAGTATAGTCCGTGTAATCAGAATGAATATGCAGTTCATCATAGATATAAATTTCTAGTAGTTTCTGATAACTTTAATGTAAACACTGTATGTTAATAAATCTACTGTTGAAAATGGGTATGTTGTGTTTTGGGAGTAAATTTACTATAAACATGGGTACATTGTATTTTGAGAGAAAATTTACTGTAAACATGGATATACTGTATGTTAAGAGTAAATTTACTATAAAACATAGGTATGTTGTATGTTGAGAGAAAATTTACTGTAAACATGGATATACAGTATGTTAAGAGTAAATTTACTATAAACATAGGTATGTTGTATGTTGAGAGAAAATTTACTGTAAACATGGATATACTGTATGATAAGAGTAAATATACTATAAACATAGGTATGTTGTATGTTTGTATACATCTAATGTAATCATGGGTTAGCTGTATGCTAGGATGGATACATACATTTTTTTGGCACTGAAAGCTCATGGAAACATCTTGTCAGTTGAGGAGATCACAATGTGGGATGTAGGACCTGTTCTGGTGTTATCCATCATTTAATAGAAAATGATTGCCCAAATGGTATTTAGGACATTGCAAGATCACAATAAAATCCAATAGACACTAATGCAAATGAGAAGTGTTTGCAGTTACCTAAAACCTAGCTCTATGATAAATGAGATTTTGAAAAATATTGGTCTGCTTCACAATAAGCCCTAAATTATCTTTTACTTTGAAAGGTATGTCTACTAAATTTATATTCATTTTAATAATTTTGATATTGGAGTGATAAGTGTTGTAACTAGCAGAATGTTGGAGTATACCTAGCACTAAAGGTGTGATGATGAACAGTTACTTTATAAGGCAATAGTATATAATGGTACAGATAATACAGTTGATCCTATCTCATGTTATGTTTGTTGAAATGAGTGTTTTACCACAAACTTACAGGCTGAAACAGCTTTAACATTATGTCCACTAGCCATAGTTTTTCACAATTTTGGAACACGTGCTTGTAAGGTGTTAATTAAGATATTTTGCCAAATAAGCAAAACATTTCTTTATTAAAGAAAATATCTTTAGAAATGAAAGTATTTGAGAGTTACCTGGAATACATTGTAGGCATCTAGAACTTAATATCAGTGTATTGTCATTCAATAGACATGACTAAAGTACTTGGCATTTACTTTCTAGTACAATGAAAACAATGTCTTAATACGTTTTTATTGGTATTCCTAAAATTTCACATAAAATTTTACCAGTTCCAACTCCTGAATTGAGTTTGTTCTGAAGTTGATGATACTTTGGGGTATTGATGGGGATAAAATTTCGGAAATCTGTAATATCAATGATATAATCAGTCAGAAATAAAGACATGTCTTTTGATAACTACGGGTTTGCATTATTTATTTTGTTTGATAGTAAATATGGCCAAATATGGGCATTAGCAGATCCATGGTTTGGAAAGTAAGCGCGCGGGGATGGGACGTCTGGAAGTGAAGAGGTTTGGAGTGGCAACGGAGATACCTAGGAAGGCAGGAAAGTTGCATTCCTGAAGAAAAATGGAATTGTTCACAAACTGTGTTTAGAATTATTTACTAAGTAGTTAGGAAAAGGGACGCTATCCAGATTAAGCATAACGGTTATAATTTACCTTGTTTATAGACATACATTAACCCCATAAATAGGTGTAACTGGTACCACTTCTCCTGGAAGAAGATTTCTTAATATTTGTTACCGAAACGCGTAAAACTGTTTCTAAGGACGCCTTAACTGCCCTTAAAGTTTACTACCTGTCGCCATCGATGTCGTCAAACCAATTATCCATAATTATGGTCTCCATTACATACATCCTCGATATTCCAGGGATTTCCCTCGCTATGGATATTTGCATCCCTTGAACATTTTATGGTGAAATTGAAGGTTCCATGTGCGACGCCTTGTGGCTAAGACGAGAAGACTAGTTTGATCATTTGATGTGCATTAACGAATATCGAGGTCGCATAACGGTATATTGTAATGGCTTGGAAGTTGGGTGTCGTTCCTTTTTAATCTTCAAAGGATTATTTTTTTTACTTCAAATCCTCTCTTGTCCAATCAAATTGCCAGTAAATATTGCAAGGGTGCAGAGAGCGAAAGTTATCGTAACCTCTGGAGTATCGAGGATGCAACACGTGTTCAATGGTCCCAAATTATTGCTTTCAATGTACATGTAAGATTGCCCCAAGTTACGGTTCCCAATTTACACTAAGCCGTCACGATAAGTTTTCCCAAGTTCTTGTTTTCAATATACGTTTTTACATGCCCCAAGTTATTGTTCACACTAAATATCATAGTGCCCAATATGTTATACGGCTAGATAAATTTGATATGCCCATGATCTAGATAAACGCACAACTCGCGGCGTTGACAAACACGCGAAATTAATAGTCAGCTTTTCATTAAGTGTAACCATTATAAAGCATTAATGATTTATAAGACATATGTAATATTGTAACGCGATATGATAATTAACTCAATATACAACAATGTGATCATTAAATATGTATTTTAATGTCCAAAAGGAAGAGCTCGGACAAATTAATTTAGTTCAATAATCTAATATAAAATGCATTATTAATACGGAATACTAACGTCAAATCCTGTCCTAGTAAATGACATCAATGACAGCAGGGATTTACAATCATGGCTTGGTCTAATTGTTAATGGCATCAAAGTGAGAAGTCAACCTGGTGGCTTTTATTTTCTAAAGTAAATCAGTTGGTTTCACCAAATGGACTGATCCACAAACCACTCGATATAGGTAGCTGTGTCGGTCGTTCCTAGGTGGGTATGCTCCCCAGCAAGCCACCTGAATTCGGTGACTGTTCCAGTTGTTTTGATAAGAAGAAATCTCCAATAGGCTCTGACAATTAGTTTGATGTAGCGGAACACCTGGACGGAAACATGACCATTCTCACTGATGACGATGTTGTCTGCTGTAACGGCTAATATTTGTTCTTTTGATTCGAATATACACTTTACCACACAGCGGACTCTGGACCCTGCGCGTATCGCTTGGGTTAAGTTCATCAAAGATCCTGTTGTACCGTTCGGAAAGTCATTGATGAAAACAGATTTCCAAACTCGTTTTTCGGCAAACCAACACGCAGAAACCGTATCCTGGTCTTTGTCAATCAGGGTATTAGCGCCTACTTCGAATAGAGTTATTTCCATGTTCCCATCGGTTGAAACAGTAACCCATCTCCAGAATCCTTTTGTAAAGTATGTCTGACTAGAGGTGTCTACCTGACTCAGAAACTGGGCAATGACCCGTCCGTCTGTAGTAATGACGACATTGTCTGCTTCCATGACGAAAGAATCGAACATCACGCTAATTCTACGACCAGAAAGAATGTTGAATTTCAGCAATGAAGTTGATCCGGATGTGTTATATACTACAGACCATGTCCTGTCAACATGCCAGTTATATTGGAATTTTGATTCACGATAAAACAAATGTTTATGTTTTCCAATAAAGTACCGAGTTGTTACGTATTGTCCTGTTGTCGAAAATAACTTGAATATCCAATAAGAAGGTTCTGCAAACGAGTCGAAGGGACTTAGCTTCAGGGACGGATTCCAAGGCATCTGACCTGTCACTTGAATGGTAGAGTCCATCTGGCCAAATTCTATGCGACTGAGAGGTACTATTTGGTTTGGGCTGGCTATCTTTACAATAGCTCCTTGTTGTATGGCTCGTAAAAGGTTAATTTTATTAGGACATGTTGGCTCTCCATTTTCATTGTTACAGTATACTGGGTTACTGTGACCACACGACAGATCTCTAAGAGAAAATAAATATAGAATTTAGATGGTAGTTATGATACACTACTGCCTGTCCAAGTTTCTTGTGTCTGCCAAGTGTTAGTACATACCAATTACATACTTATTTCTTTTTTTGATTATCGTAAATTCTTTATTTCGTCTTCTAATAACTTTTTTCTCATTTCTTTATTTTATAACGATAAGTAGTTCGCTTGTTCCAATGAATAATTTTATTTCAAACTAACAGACTAAATGTCCTACAGTTCATATTTTAATTGAATATCAAGATATGATTTCATTCTAATGAAAAAAAATACATTAACTAGAAAGCGATCGAAACAACTTGGATAACGCAATGCATAAAATCAGCTGTTTTCTTCTATAGTTCATCAGTTATGTCGCCGAAAAATTGCTACAGCGTCACTGCTAGACCCAATTTTGCTGGCGACTATTTTGAGTACACTATGAGTAATGTTATCGAGCAGACAACAGCATCACACATAAATATGTATTATGATTTGAAATGATGGTTTCAGTAGGCTAAGATATTCACAATCCTACCCTATTCTCACTATTCATGGAAATATTTATTGAAACATCATATAACGTCTTGCTATAGTTTTACTAGGTCAGATGTTTGTAATTTACGACACAGTAATATCAACATTGGCTTACCTTGCAAACAAAGTGCCTGTCTTGGACAATATTTTGGATCCGATGATATGCGTATCACCAAGGTGTTGTTGAAGAATATACACCTTTCCATAGGTACAGGCGTTTGTGAAGTCCCAGGTCCCTTCTGGATCAAAAGTATCCCAGCTCGACCTTGATAGAATTAATGCAGATCTAAAACAAATATATGGTTGGCCATCTGTATATCGAATTATTGCTTGCCAAGTTTCATAGAACATATCATCGCCGATTTGTATTCGCATGTCTGCACCGTTTCTGATCTTGGCAATTGTTTCCGGTATACTTCCAGATAAAACGGTTCCTTTTTCATCAAAGGTCAACGTTTTCGTCCATTTCGCTGTGTCTGTAATATATACATGATAATAATTTCATAATTTAAACAGGTTCATGAATCAAACAAATGGTCAAAGTGAACTTGCTTATCTCCCCTAATTTTCAGTGGTTGGTGACGTCATCTTTGTCACCGTCATTCGGTTTGTGCCTAAACAACGTAAAAGCTATACAGTTTATATCCGACCTTTCATCGAAACAATCCTATATCGTATGGTGTATTTCTAATTGTCGAATTTGAAATATCATTTCTAGATCTTTTCGTGTCTTATAAATTCACTATGGATCATCCAAAATAAAAAAACGGATATGGTGCAGCCCCGTGAGATCATTTGATTTTACCTCCCTTTAATCGACAAATGCGTTACAATGAGATAATTGATTTCACTATTGAAGAATTCTGCAATGGCAAGATAAGTCATGCAGCTTCTGACTGCTAATTTTGGTGAAAGAAATACATTTCAATCAAAATATGAAGAAAAAAAGTAATTTTTAGTTTGGCTGTGGACTGAAATCACTTACCTGATTCTTCTATCTTGTACGTCAGTTGAACGTCAGGTTCATTTCGGACATCGTGTGCAACACATAATCCTGTGTCTTTATCGAATGAAACTATTGCTGATTCGCTGAAGTTGTGTATTTGTATTAAAGCAATACATTTGACCAGGCTATCGGTGGTCAGATTAAAGCCAGTCCTTACCAAAGGACAAGATGCAGAACCATGTGTAATCCAGTGATGTTGAACTTTTGCTGCGAGACAACCGCCAGCCAAAACTGAAAAAAAGTAATGGTAAGTAATTAAGACATGCGTATCATAATTAGATTAATGTATTTAAACATACACCAGTATCACTGGAATTTTTGTTTCATCCATCATTTTTTTAAAGTGAAACTTTGCTCATATCCTTATCATAGGTTAATGATGAAAAGCTAATATTGTACCAAAAGATAACAGTTGAAAATAAGTTATCATATTGTTTTCCTCCTGACTGGTTTTGTGGTACTCTGATTACAGCAAAACATTCGATACTTTACAATCTCACTCATTATATAGCGGTCTAGTCATACCTCATATAATACAATGGCGATTTAATATTCAAAGCCATGATGTGGAAAGGATACAGGGCCATTTTTTATGATATCTCACTCATCATATAGCGGTCTAGTCATACCTCATATAATACAATGGCGATTTAATATTCAAAGCCATGATGTGGAAAGGATACAAGGCCATTTTTTATGATATAAAACTTTCTCATTACATTCCACTGATAATTCAGTCAATTAAGATCATATAATTTTAAAAACCAATATATTACAGTACTGTCCCGTTATCAATATGACATCATACACTTGGGACCACCCATATCTTTGATTGGGCTTTATTTTGTTCGTTGTGTTTGATAAAAAATATCCAATGACAACTCAATAAAATGTAGGAGCGTTTCAGCCATCTAACAAAGTTACACATGGCCAATAAGAAAAGAAATTTACAGGACCGGAAGTGATTTATCAGTGCTAAAGAATGCATTCCAAAGACTAGAAGAAGACAATTTAAC